ACTGACACTCATGGCCTTGGACAAATAACCAGGCCCTGACTCCTCTGGAGGAAGACAACGGGCAGAACAGCACCAGTTTCCCCACCCAGTAGGTCTTGACTGAAAATAAGAAAAATACTGAACTTGACTAGCAACCATTAAACAACTATTAAAAAAACGAAAAAGCAGCTTTTAATTCTCTTCTTCAATTATCAGATCCTTTCCGCTGCAAAACAGGGGACTCTTAGCAAACAGCTTTTTTTGACAGATTTTCATATTTGCCTTTAATAAATATCCTCTCAAACGTAGCTTGTCATTCAGGGATTATTTTTTCCATGTCAGCCCTGTAAATACAAATTCTCTGTCTATAGCTGAACTCCTTTTAAAAGAGCATTTCAATGGGGGGAAAAAAGGGGGAAAGCTAAATCAAGATCTTACTTCAGAACAGATCAGGAAAACTTCACCAAAATCAGTGGTCTTCTCAATAAGTTTTTGCTATTTTAACACGCTTCCCTTGGATTCAGTAAAAACAGCAGTATGAACCACAAAATAGTTGGGTAAACTTTGGGTTGACAAAACACTGATTTTTTAAACCTCCACTCATATATTAAGCCAGCAAGAGTTCCAGCAGAGACATCCAACATTGTAACTGTAACACGGATCTTCTATATACGTTAGTTTTGGCAAACACTTGTTTATAAGCCTCCCTCAGAATACCATCTTCCTAATTACAAAACCTGATATGGGAATGTTGACTTACTTTGAAGGATAGAAGACCATGTTGGTTTAAAAAAAAAAAATGCAAAAGAAAAAGTTTTTAAAAAAAAAGAAAATAAAAGAAAGAATCAGGAGTAATGTAAGAAGCAGGAGTAATGTAAGTTCTTCCTAGTAGCTGTATTGCAAATAATACAACTACTAAATTATGCAAACAGTAAGACAGTGATTAAAAGTCTAAGGCAATTGCAGAATGAAGAAAAAGCAGGATGAAAATCTGATCCATGGGGAGAGGCAACAACTGCAAAAAAAACATGCACACGGAGAGCAGCAGAAATGGAAAAATGGGAAGGGAAAACAGTAGGAAATAAAAATCTTTGCCAAGCTTATTTTGAGTTATAATTTGGATAACAAAATACTGAAAATTGTATTAAGTGGTTGCACAAGAATATCTCAATGACAAACAGAAAAAGCTCCAATCTAAATCTTAACCACTTCCTATCCAAATAGCAAGGCAGCTAGTAAAAGCTTCTTGCTCAAGAAGTCACATAACATACTACACTGTATTTTCTTGGTTATAACTTCAGACATTTTGCTTTTTCTATTTTAAGCCTTTCCAGAAATCATTTAAATTGTATTTTATTTTAATGAAACATTGAAAAAACCCAATACACAAAGTTGTAGCCTTAAAACTGGATTTCAAAGAAAGAAAAATAAGTTGTATCCTAAATTAAAAAATATCACCCCAAATTTAAAAAACAAACATACATTTATATGACTGTGTGCACACACACCGACCTGTAACTCACCTTCCTTTTGGGCAAACTATTCACATTTTAAAGAAATTTTTAATTCTGTTTTGAATGAAAAAAATGGATTTTTCTATTCCTTTTTACTGGATGAAAATTAATTGTCTTTCTGATTTACTTAAATATAGCCAAATAAAACCGAAATTTTGGATAATTTAAATATCAGTTTCTTTGTTCTAAAGAATCTCAAGAGAGATTGCTACAGTATATCAATGATAAAATAGTATCTCTGCAAATACAGGACTAGCTTCTCCTCACTATTCTAATCTGATCCTTCTACCCTCACAAAAATCGGTTCTATTTTTACTGTTTGTCATTTAAAGTCCATTTAGTTCGGTATTGAACTTCATGTAACTTGCATTAGGTATATCAGAAGAATGTAAAAAAAATAACTTTTTTTCAACTCTTATTATTTATGTATAAGCACTATCAAATACTACCTTTTGCCATCAGTATCTTCCAGAATATAGAAGCAAATCTACAGTAAATGAGTATGAGGGTTAAGAAATGAAGCAAGAAAAACTGGGACTTGTCAGAAGCAAATGGTAGTGGAATTTTATTTATCTATCTATCTTGGGGTAAATCACAAAAAGATCAAATGCAGTCTCTATTATTGTACTCCAGGAGTTAATGATTATGCAGTGTGATTGACTTACCCTATTTTTTTCAGCTGATGTTCTCTATCCCCTTCATTCGCAGAGAGTATCGAGTTGTTCAAACTGTTTTATGAAATCAAAGACTCAGGTTCACCTGTTCTAGACACGAGATAATTCTCTTTGTGGAATTGAAAGAGGAAAACATTGACGTTTGTTGCACAGGTCCTTTAGCATTACTATGTTAAAGCAAGTATTCTTTTTTTGTCAGTTCAGGTAAATTCAGGTAAGGCTAACAGATAAAGAACCTCCCTGCTCCATACAGGACGTGTTCCCACTGGGAATGCACACCATTGGCAGCTCTGTTGCCCTGAGGCCCTCAAAGATTCAATACTTCTGGTTGGTATTTTGAAAGGCTTTACTTCCCCCCGCTCCCAACCTTATCCACTTTTTTTGTCAGTTCAGGTAAATTCAGGTAACGCAATTATAGATTGCCTCCCTGCTCCATACAGGACGTGTTCCCACTGGGAATGCACACCATTGGCAGCTCTGTTGCCCTGAGGCCCTCAAAGATTCAATACTTCTGGTTGGTATTTTGAAAGGCTTTACTTCCCCCCGCTCCCAACCTTATCCACACACAGATTCACAGATTGGACAGAGTTGGGAGGGACCTCTAGAGATCATCTAGTCCAACCCCCCTGCTAAGCAGGATTGCCCAGAGCAATTATAGATTGCCCAGAACAATTATAATTCTATGCTGGATTAAAATTCTGGAATTTGGAATGCATGAAGTGCTAATGTTCAAGTAACTTCAAGCTTTCTTGCTTGCTATGTTGATGCAATGCCTTCATCCATAGAAGTGTAGCTATGGGAGAAAAGGGGATGGATGCAGCTGTAAAAAGCAGATGTTAGTATTGCACACTAGAGTCTCAGAGAAGGGGACACATTGCCATGCTGATCAATTATAGATTGCCCAGAACAATTATAATTCTATGCTGGATTAAAATTCTGGAATTTGGAATGCATGAAGTGCTAATGTTCAAGTAACTTCAAGCTTTCTTGCTTGCTATGTTGATGCAATGCCTTCATCCATAGAAGTGTAGCTATGGGAGAAAAGGGGATGGATGCAGCTGTAAAAAGCAGATGTTAGTATTGCACACTAGAGTCTCAGAGAAGGGGACATTGCCATGCTAACGTCACTAGATGTGCAAAATGGTCAAAGGCAAGTCCCTGGGATTCTCTAACCCACTAAGGGTGGGGGGAGAGGGGAAAAACAAAAACCAAACCAAAAACCAAACCAAAAACCAAGCCAAAAACCAAGAAAGAGAAAAGAGAGAGCAGTGAGGAGAGACTCCTTACGAAAATGAGTGTTTTTCCCTTTGGAGTCAGCCAGCGTTTTGCTGTAAATATACCAACACATCTTGTCCTTGAAGATTTCAATAATTCAAAAGCTTTTACTTTTTTTTTTTAAATTAAGGTTTATTTTAATATTTTTATCTAACCTTTTAAATCCCCTTTTTAACAGCTCAGAATGAGATTTTAAAATATAAGGGTTTAAAATAAATCCCTCCCTATCTAATGCATCTTGCAGAGTGAGTCCTGTCCATCAAGCTGCTATCAATCCAGAAATGATTTGCTTCCTGCTGCACAAGAAACCCAGGCAATCCCTCTGGATTCTAAGAATAAGGTGCCCTCCAATCGTGGCAGAGCCTTGGCTGCAATTTTGCTTAATTCTGTGTATTTCTCTGCTGTGCCTCACTCCATATATTCCACTCCAAACTGCAAGAGTCTGTCTGTCCCTGTCCTGTGCCCAGGGAAAGTTTTTCCCAGTTACACTTCCAGCAGAAAGGAAACTCCTGTGCCTCCAGAGGTTTCCAGCTCACTGAAAGCAGAGCTTTCCCTCTCGCTGTCTCATCCACACCTTTGTAAAACAGAAGAAGTGTACAATATTGCAGCAAACTTCAAATGAAAAATTCCACAAAACCAATATCCAAACCGCCACATAAACAAAACAGTTTTAACACCTGTCAAAATGCGCAATATTTTTTCTGCACACTTAAAAAAAAAAAAAAAAAGAAAAGGAAAAAGTGCAGACAAAAAGGAGCTGAAAGCAGCCCAGAGTGCAATGTGCAATACTAAGGATTTCAAACTGCTGCTCGAACTGGAGGGAGACGGATGACATAGAGGAAACATTACAATTAAAAGCGTAGCTAATGGGAATTACGGTTTGCTAGCGAGGGTCCATGAAAGCTTTAGAAGGAAGGAAGGAAGGAAGGATTAGCATTCTCAGCTGTGATATTCTAGGAAAGAAAGTCACTAAGATCAAACATTAAATTTTAATCTCCCACTTCCTTTCAGTGAGAAAATACAGCAGCTACAACAAATTGGATTTACTGTACTTATGCAGCTGAGGAACTCGTTTCTTAAAGGAAAAAAAAAAAAAGTCTCACAAGACTATCTGAAAAGGAAGGTAAGAGTGCTAAAGTGGTGATCCAGCCTATTTTTCCAGATTATTTCATTTTTGAGAGAGGATTACAAAGCCAGGCAACCCACATTTAAACCCACAGGCTAAATTTCAAAGCCTTTGCCCAGGCCCTTCTGCTCCCATTGCCTTGGACAAGCTTTTGTCTCCTTGTCTCTGACAGCACAGTTATAGCCCATTTCCTCTATAATTTTGTAACTTCTTCTGTGACCCCCTCCTGCCTCCTCTCAGACAGAGTGTTTGTAGCAACACTGTGAAGGCTCTAGAGCATTTACAAACAGAAACTCGACAAAGCAAGGAAAAGCACAGACCTTATTTTCATGAGCAAGTTCTTTAACCAAATGGGGCACTGTCAGTCTTTGGCAAGGAACCATCTCTGCTGCAAAGAATATAGTTAATCTTTAAGTACGTCGTAAGAGAACTGATATGACGTGGTGTAAGGCCAAATTGTCAGCAATGCCTCTTGCACAACTAACTGCCTGGTGCCCTTGGCCAAGGTCATCCATGACAACTTTGGCATCGTGGAAGGTCTCATGACCACTGTCCATGCCATCACAGCCACACAGAAGACAGTGGACGGGCCCTCTGGGAAGATGTGGAGGGATGGCAGAGGTGCTGCTCAGAACATTATCCCAGCATCTACTGGGGCTGCTAAGGCTGTGGGAAAAGTCATTCCTGAGCTCAATGGGAAACTTACTGAAATGGCTTTCCGTGTGCCAACCCCCAATGTCTCTGTCGTGGACCTGACCTGCCGTCTGGAAAAAGCGGCCACATATGATGACATTAAGAGGGTAGTGAAGGCTGCTGCTGATGGTCCCCTGAAGGGCATCCTGGCATACACAGAGGACCAGGTTGTCTCCTGTGACTTCAATGGTGACAGCCATTCCTCCACCTTTGATGTGGGTGCTGGCATTGCACCGAACGACCGTTTCGTCAAGCTGGTTTCCTGGTACGATAACGAGTATGGCTACAGCAACCGTGTTGTGGACTTGATGGTCCACATGGCATCCAAGGAGTGAGCCGAGCACACAGCCCCTCCCTGCTGCCTAGGGAAGCAGGACTCTCCTTCATTGGAGCCCCTGCCCTTCTTCACCACTGCTGAGCTCTGCATCCTGCAGTGAGAGGCCAGTTCTGTTCCCTTGTCTCCCCCACTCCTCCAACTTCTCCCCGAGCCTGGGGGAGGTGGAGAGGCTGACAGAAAATGGAGAAGCTCATTTTTGCTGAGACTTCTAAATTGAATTCCCTATAGCACGCTGCCCTCCTGGAGCTCTCCGGGCTGCCTTCAGGGGCTGCTGCGGAGGAGCCGATGGACTTCTCTGGAAGGCAGGAGGCATGAGGCTGAGCTCCGTGCAGGGCTAACACGGGGGTGTGGAGAGCATCCTCCCCACAGCCAGTGCCTGGAAAACTGGGAAACCTAAGGGACAGGCTGTGTGCAACTCGGGAGTGGAAACAGGCCCAGAACATTTACTGCAATTACAGAGTGTCAGTGATGCAAACGGTCTCTCGGAGTGGCAACCAAACTGTCCTTTCCTGTCTTTACAAAGACATTTGTATTATCCAGATAGATCCAGCAATACTGCAGTTCCCATCAGACGACTGTAATAAAATATTAAGGATGGAATACAAGTAGTGTTTGGGCCTTGAAAAGACTGACCAACTCTGAAGTAACAGCCAGACAAATTAAATAAATCTAGCTTTAAGATCTTCTAAAACATACAAAAAATATCTTGATTATACAGACGAGCTTAATACAACGTAAGACATGAGTGTCCTCACAATTTAATTTGAGCCTATTTGTACCATAATCAAAGACAGAATTCCAAGCATAGAAGAGTTTTCTTGACTTCTTCTCTTCCCTCCACAAAACATCAGAAGGGGTGTTTTGGGACAGGGCTATAGGAAGAAACAGCAGGAGGAGATAAAAACTGAGCAGTATAAAATACAGCACAGCCACTGAATCTAAGAAATGCATTTTCAATACGTGTGATAAATGAACAAAAATTAAAATATTGCACCAGTTGGGATAATAGGGCTGTACCACCTTACAGCAGCCACACCAGTCTGAAAACCTGAAAAATACCTTAGGGGGAGACCCATGTTGGTAAGCATTATGCAAACCACTATTGTAATTTCAACAAAAATCACAGCAGAAGAAAAAAATCCATTTTGAGGGTTTTTAGTCTTTGTATACAATGCTTTCCTTTTTCCTTATCACTTTATTTAAAAATATAGTTTTGTTAAAGTGATTAGCTTTTATAACATCAGCGAGTCACCATGCAGAAAACTGATGGAATCTCTCTTGCAATCATACCTCAATATTTAACATACATAAATATCCATTTCAGATGCAGAATCTGAACTTTAAAGTGACAAAGGTCTGCAGTTTGCCTTAAATACAGGTAGCACATAAGCCAAAAGAAAGACTAAGAATCAACCTAAGGGGGAAAAAAGCCTGTTTAAGCTGAGGTAAAGAGTTTTAATGCAAGAATGCTGGGGGCAAGTAGTTCCAGATTTTGCTCAGCCACTTCTTTGACTGAGCTAAGTAATCCTTCAAGGCAGTGGTCTCCAAAGTGGGGTGCTTAAGACAATCCTTTAGGGTATGTGAAAGAACACTTCTTGTACTGATAATAAATGAAAGAAAAAAAGAAAGAAGAAATAAACACTATCTCTCTTATCTCATCTTTTTTTAATCTTTGTGTACGTTTTATAATGGACTACTGTACCAATATGTACATGTATATAATCTATAAATAAATAAGTATACCTATATAAGGGTGATGTGCTCAGAATTTTTTTACTGATTGGGTGTGCAATCAAATGTCTCTCTGCTCCAAAAGGTATTCAACACTTCTTTGCAGGATCTTAGAGCTAGAAGAAATGCCTGCCTCTGAGTTTTGAATACTCCAGGATAGAGTTCCTTGATCTTTTGGGATCCCTCTCCCATCACATACTGAATGGTGTAGAATTCAAGCTGTTTTCTTCAGTTAAACACACCACGGATCGCAGGCTTCTTTTGGCTGTTCTCCTGTGAGCTGTTATTTTTAAGCACTTTAAGGCCTTAAGAACTGCCCCACCCTCACTGTAAAAATACGCTATTCCTAGAGAAGAGAGGAGCTAAAAAGCACCGTTCTCTAATATTCAACTACAGCAAGTTCAGGCAAAACCACATCCCAGTGACAGCAAACACAGCTGAAGAAAGCAAATGGAAACCAGAATATGCCTCATCATTATTACCACTGACACACATCACTAGGCAACCACTTCATCTGGAGATGCTGGAAAAAGAGCAAGCTGTTCTTGGAATAGAGCTGAGTGGTTCCGCTTGGAAGGGACTTAAAACCATCATCAGGGCTCACCAAAAGTTAAAGCATAGTACTAAGGACATTGTTCAAATGTCTCGTAAACATTGACAGGGTTGGGGCATCAATCATCTCTCTAAAAAGCTTGTTCAGTGTTTGACTACCTTCTCGGTACAGAAATATTTCAAATTCTAGGCTGAGCCTTCTTGATGAGCTGTGCATTACTTGAAATGTGTCTGACCCATGACCACAGGCTCTATTGCTACTTTTCTAACTTGATTTGCCATCAGACACCTGCTAGCATGGTCCCCACATGGGTGGGCACATTACTAAGAAATCCAATTAAGATGGGACAAAAAATGTTACTCTTTCATGAATAACTAATTTGATGAATTTTAAGGTTCATTATTTTCCAGATACCAGTATTCATGAGATCCATGAAATGACTTAACTAAATTGAAAACTGTTTTGTTCATGGTCTCACATGTTTGAGTATCCAAACTAAAATGTTCAGAATAGTGAAAATTGTAGATGATGAAGTTTAGCATAGCAGCTGTAAAACAAAAGTGACTTCCAAGTTTCTCCAATCTCCTATCTCCATATTTATTTCATGCTTTATAGCAAACTGCTTTATTAAATGTGAATATGGAAAAGTTTTTCTACAGGTAACTTAATTTATAACCTGAAGGCCACATCGATCACTAGTGTTACCTGGTTTCCAAGTCAGCAGGTATAACACATCTCTATTTTCCACTCCCATTCCTTTTCTCCTTTGGGGGCGGGCTGTGTGTGTGTGTGTGTGTGTGTGTGTACACAGGCCTAAACATCGGCTCAGATTCTACCCAAATCCATTGAGAATATATATAAAACATTTTGACTTGCAGCCTGTGAAAGACCATTTTGGAAACATGAACAAATACTTAATCAACAGAAACTTGAAGCAGTAGAACTTGCTACCTTAACAGCCAGTGGAATAGAAAGGCATCATTAAGAAGAAAATATAGAATATTTATTTATAGTTTCCATTACACAGCAAATGATCCTAAATCAGATCTCAAAGTGTTTTACAAACAATACTGTAATATGCCTCAGGCAGAATTACAATCCCAAACTTGCTCTTAGCTGCTTGTAAAGAATTAAAAAAGATTACAGCATACATCTACTACTTCAAAATACTACTAATGGTAGGGGAGCAAAACACTAAGATTTGGAATTACATGAACACCACTCTAAAACAGCTGGACCATGAAAAGCAATTGGCCAAAACTCCCGTCTCATTACAGACGCAATAGTAACACAATATATTCTGCTGCCAGGTCATCCTTGGTCAGAAAACCAAACCTGAGAGGGATATTTCTTCCCTTCCCTCTCCCCAGTAAGGAACTATAAGCTCCTAACTTTAAAAAGAGTTCATCTGAGAGGCACGATATGCTCACAGTAGTAACAATGCAAAGTTATACCTCTCTCCACAAATATGTAGTGCAGTCCAGGCTCCTGAAGGCAGTGTCTCCTAAACAGCTATACAAGGACACACTGTCGAGACACAACAGAAACTGCTCCACAGTTTGAGCCTTTACAGAAGAAAGCCAGTGAACAAACCCCAAAGACTGAGATCTTTACAACAGTCTGATTGCATATATCTCAGCTAAAAATTAACAGCAGGTCTGAATGCTCAAAATTTCCAAGTATCAGAGTGAATTTAAATGAGCTCACATCTTCCCCCAACCCCTCCTAAATAATCAGGGAGGCCAAAAACTATAACATGGGTCATTAGCTAGATCGGTAAGTTCAGAAAAATACTCAGGAACAGGTATCTCAAAAACTTATAAGCAATCAGAAAAAGAAAAAAAAAATCTTAAAAAGATTCAGAAAAGCATGTTTTTTCTTCCTCAACTCTGAAATTGGCATAAATAAAATGTAAATGCTGTATTCCTGAGGATTTTCGGAAAATCCATTTCAAGCCACTCTGAAATTGGCATAAATAAAATGTAAATTCCTGAGGATTTTCAGAAAATCCATTTCAAGCACTGGCAGTAAAATGATCTACCACAGAACAGAGAGAGAAAGGAAAAAATAAACCAAACCAAACTAAACCAAAAGCAAACACACCCACCCCGCAAACCCCCAGCTTTGTTTACAAGCTAGAAGTACCTTCTGCTGCATAGAAAAGACCCTTCTGGGTGGGGTCTCAGTGAGACATTAGGCAAAGGGAACCAAAGTACCCCAAAGCCATCTTTATATTCATTTTGTCTTGGATTGTTTCAAAGGCCACAGGTGACTTCCATTTCACCTCAGGGTTCAGACGCAGACAGATTACTCCAGATATAAGGTAAAAGAATTTATCTTGTATTTGTTATGAACAGAATGGAACATACAATTACTTCAGATGCATACTATAGCAGTCTTGTGGCAATTTATCAGCACAGCGAGTCTTCCATCTGTCTGGGTCTCTAAACATTACCAGAGAGTGTCTCGGCAAAAGGACAGCACCTCTCCCCCCAACAAACAGGGCTGGGAGGGTAAACTACCTAATTTAGCATATTAGGAGTCACATATTCTATTAAAAAAATTGACCCTTAAAGCTGTTGCTTTAGCATTTTGCCTTGTGCTGAAGAGCGAGGAGCAAACTATTTCATCAGTTTGAACATTATCAGGACTAGCAGATGAAATTCTATTGTCTGAGCCCAGTACAAATGAGATATAATCTATGCAAAGTAAATAAATATTTCTTCATCCTCTCTTGCCTAACACTTGAAAAACAGTGCTCAAAAGGAAGCTGCTTCCAATATACTTTTTTTTTTTTTAAGGGTAGCCTTAAAGCTGGAAGTAATAAAATATAAAGAACATTTTATAAAAAGGTGTTAAAAATTTACACGTTTACTGTAAGCTATTTCAGACCTAAAAAAACCCAATAAAAGATCAGAATTATTCCGCCTTACACTACTCGCTTTCGGGGAGCCATTTCTGAATATAAGACTTGTCAGGAAAAAAAAGAAAGCTAAAAATACATCAGTTTCTTTAAGAAGTTTGACTCATTTCCACAGGACCAGAAGTTCTTTGTACTTTATAGTTAAATAAGTTAAATAAATTAAGTGATATTGCTCAAACAACATTTCTCCATCATACTAACTTACAACTGGTCTTGCAGTTCCACAATGATATATTCAAGCTGTTCCTTCTCCATTTTATGGGCTAGATCCATATCTTCAATTCTTTGTAACAGTAGTTTATTCTGTGAGACCGATTCAGACAGCTGGTTTTCTCTGAGTCGTACCAATTCTTCAAGGTAACCCTGGAAAAATAAGTGTTAGAGAACACACTATCAAAAAAAAATATTCATTATGTATGTTCACATTTTTCTGGTTTAAGATGTATGAAGTTCTACTTTGGTTTTGCTGTAGGGCTTTTTAAATTTTATTTTTAAACAGACTGGTAAATTGATTTAAGATTAGTATTATGCTTCCTAATAGGTACCAAGAAAATTATGTACTTATTTATATTCCTGTGGCGGTATAGAACAATGGATGAAACAACTGGACAGGAATGCTACCACCGGGAATCACTCATTCATTTTTTGAAAACAACATGTAACAGTCACCAGAATAAGAAAAAGATCTGAACTCTACAACTTGACAGATGCAGGATGTTAGAAAATGTCTAAGAAGGACAAGAGTAGAATGAGTCTATATGGATCTGTATTGTTAATGAAAGTGATCCAGAATTATAAAAAAATATCCAACAATATTTTTAAGTTTCTTTGAAAACTGCAATACCACATCACATGGCAAAGAAGAAAGCTATTGAAATAAATATTCGTCTCCAGTAAAGCATAAGGTTGGACAACTGGTGAAGGTAACTTCTTTTAGTAACATTGGATCTGTGCAGCTGGAATGTGCATGTACATTTATGTAATTGCTTTTCCAGCTGATACTATAAAACACATGGGGCAGTCCTAATTACACTCCAGCTATTTGGTCATTTACAAAAATCCACACTGAGTATCTAACAGCAGCTGTGACAGCAGGCTGGTCACAAAGTATGTTAACAAATTACACATCTGGTTACAATACTAAGGAGATATTTCTTTTTCTCCAGAGTCTCAACATGTCAGATGCCATAACTTCTTATTCACTCTTAGCTAAAGCCGTATAGAATAAGTCTATAGTGTATAAAACTTTGCATTCTTTGAAGCCTGTGGAAAAACGTGTAACTCTTTCATAGGTGCCATGTCACCAAAGACAGACCTCTGCTTTAGTTACAACAATGTGCTACTAAAATGTTTGCTTCCTACTAACCTTCTCACTGTGTGAGAAAATAGTTAATTACTGAACTTCTTACTGTGTGAGAAAATAGTCGAGCTGATAGGATGGGACAACAAGAAGGAGTTAACTACTTCAAGGTTCTCTCATATTTCAGAGTACTCCTATACTCCTATACTATATAACAGAGCTGTGGCCACTTCCAGGAACATCCTTAGAATCCTCAAGAAGTTGGCAAACTTACTGTAAACTTTTACTGTCCTGAGATGACTCAATACCTTAAAAGGATAATGTGAGGCAAGGTATCCTTGCCCAAATGACCACTGAGGAACTCAGGCCTGCGCAGAAGTGTTTTGCCAATGCTGCAAAATTTAATAAGCACGTGCAAAAGGGCTATTCGGTCATCTTAATGAATGTGTTAAGCTAAATGGAGTTATTTATTAGGTAGGCGGAATTATCAGAATCATTTATGTATAAATAATGGGTGAATGTCCCCAGTAAGGTGTGCTAGATTTGTGGATTTCCACCTAGCACCCAATGTCAAATAAAGCCGTATCTCCTCTCTAAACTGCTTCTGGTTTCAAGAGCTTTTATTTCAGACAACACCCACTTAAAAAAAAAAAATTAAATTAAAGAGGCATAGTTCTGTTAAGTAAAAGGGAGGAGAGTGATAGGATGGCTTGGTGGACACCTGGCGTCCAGCCAAGGTCAACCCACCAGTATAAAAATGTCTTACTTATTTTTGAATGGACACTAGAACAGGTTGTCCAGACAGTCTGAGTCTTCTGCATCCTTAAGCTACTCACAGCCTGACTGAACAAGGCCCCAAGCAACTGCTCTAGTCTACCTATTTTTGAGCGGGGGAGTTGGACTGCCCATCTGTTGGGCAGATCTCCAGAGGTGCCATCTGACCAGACTATTCTGTGATTCTATGATTACATACAGATCTTTCCACTGGATATATTTGTATTTCATAGGAATTTATCTTAGTCTTGGTTCAAGTTCCAAGGAATCTTGAGAGCTTTTCAGTATGCCTAGTTCTGCCCCATCAAAAGTTAGTTACCTTGACTGATAAGGTGCTCCTTGGAGCTCAAAGTAGTGCTTTGAAAGTACTAAACAATGCATTAGGGCTTATACAAATTTCTTTCCTCCCAGAAACATCAAACAAACATTTTACAAAAATATTTTAGATACGAAGCATCAGTGTCAGAAAGATAATACTATGAACAGTAAATACCTCTGCCTATAATGACATGGAGATGCATCATCCCACCAGTGAAAGCACATAAAACTTCAGTATAAACAGCATACAAAGAATTTAGGACTTCACAACAGTGAAGAGTTTACACCATTCAAAAATGGGGAAGAGATAACTTCCACACAGGTAACAAACTGTGACTCATTAATCTGGACAAGAGACAACTTGGAAAAGATACGCTCATCATATTTCCAGAGTGGCCTGGAGAAGGCAGGAAGGAAGCAACTGCTCATCATTTTTTTAAAATACAAGAGCTAGGCACCACAAAACGAAGCTGGTAGGAGTCAGATTCAAAAGACAGAAAAGGAGGTGGCTTTTCACACAACAGATGGGCAGATATGCTTTGCCAAAAAAATTATTTGGATGCTAAAAATTTACATGGGGTCAAGGGGATATTTGACAAGTATTTGGAAGAGAGATCCATCACAGGTTACTAAAGAGACAAAGTCCTCAAAGAAGTCCTTGAGCTGGTATGTGTTGGCCAAGAAAGCATTAGAGGAAACAGTGCATACGTGTTTGCTTTGTTTTTATTCTTCCTTTCACATCTACTTTAGGCAAGTATCCAAGATAAGACAGTAGGATAACCAAGGATTCTAGGTCTAAACCAGCATAGCACTATTAATCCAAAAAAGCAACGCTAGGATTTACCTTGCTAAAATAATACCTGACCCTATCCTATTATCTAAACAACTCAGAAGATATGAATACCTTTATCTTAGCTGAAATCCAATCACTTGTCATACTGTGACCCTGGTAGAGTTCTTTCACCTGTGCTATTAGTGACTGTGCATACTTACTTAGGAGGCACAAAAGGAATTTATAATTGTTTGCGCAAAGTGAATGACAATAGAGAAAAAAAAAAAGTATCTGTCGGACTCTGTATATCAGTTGCTAAAAATACATTATTTTCAGCTTTGTCTTCTTGTCACAAACCTCCAGTTTGCCAACACACAGAAGGTCAGACAGCCCCTTTGTCTGAAAGGAAACACTGCCTTTGATTAACTGGTACCTACTGCACTGTGTGCAACTTGATTGTTGCTGCAACTTACTGCCATGATAAAGGTTCCAAAAATGGAAGGAGAGAAATAGTCAGAAAAGGAGCTCTAACAAAGCTGGTGAGGGGTCTGGAGAATAAGCCTTATGAGGAGAGGTGTGGGGACTGAGGAAGTGTGGAGCTGCGCTGCTGAGTGAGAGCTGGGCAGGTGTTCTTGCAGTGAGGGGAAGGAAGCCTTGGGAACAGTAAAACAATGTCTTTATATGGCATTATTTGTGTGGTATGAAATCCAGCGAGGGAAATAACAGATAATAATGTTTGGATAACATAGGCGCGTGAACACTTATTTGTAACCAATTGTATTGCTCCTAACGGTGCGTGGACAGGCCCCACAACCTATCTGTGTAGAGAGCACAGTGTGTGATCAAAAGAGAGAAACTATATATGCTGTAAAAATGAAACATTAAACGTTTTCGCTTCACCACTTGGCGGAGTCCGTACCCTTTGTTGCCACAGAGAAGCTGAGGGAGCTGGGGGTGTTCAGCCTGGAGAAAAGGAGGCTGAGGGGAGACCTTCTGGCTCTCTCCAACTCCCTGAAAGGAGGGTGTAGCCAGGGGGAGTCGGTCTCTTCTCCCAAGGAACAGGAATGGGACAAGAGGAAATGGCCTCAAGTTGGTGCTGGGGAGGTTCAGATTGGATATTAGGAAAAATTTTTTACACTGCAAGGGTTATTAAGCAGTGGAATAGGCTGCCCAGGGAAGTGGTGGAGTCACCATCCCTGGTGGGGTGGTGAGATGGTATAAAACAGGTAGACATAGTGCTTAGAGACATGGTTTAGTGATGGTTTTTGTCAGTGTTAGGTTGACGGTTGGACTAGATGATCTTAAAGGTCGCTTCCAACCCAGACAATTCTATGATTCTATGAGCTGCAATAATCTGGGAGAATGCTCATTGTCTCAGGCCAAAAACCATACCAACAACCATTCTTAGACATTGTTGTCTCTGTAGCTGTAATGTGCTGTTATAAAAAACTGACTAGCACTTTGCTTTTAGAAATACTAAAATACTAAGAAGTTTGGACATACAGTATTTTGGAACCCAGACAATTCTATCATTCTATGAGCTGCAATAATCTGGGAGAATGCTCGTTGTCTCAGGCCAAAAACCATGCCAACAACCATTCTTAGACATTGTTGTCTCTGTAGCTGTAATATGCTGTTATAAAAAACTGACTAGCACTTTGCTTTTAAATATACTAAAATACTAAGAAGTTCGGACATACAGTATTTTGGATTGAAGAGGAAGTACCTACCTTTGGCTTCTATAATAACATTTGATATGCCACCTATGTTATTAAAATCAAGTACAAACACACTTTTCCCCCCCCTCTTTCCCATTCTAACTTGAAGCAGGTCTTAAAACTGTCAATTTATAAGAACCCATCTCAGTATCACCAAGAAGATAGTTCTGCTTTTCATTCCTAGATTATTACTTTGCTGATCATTTTTGTTTACTGTAAGACTAAATGTTAAACATAAGATCACTGTCATTATAAAAGCCTTCAACTGGCAGTCTACCTCCATCAGTAAAATTCTATGGCCTCTAAGGAAGGGGAAAGTCACATTCACTTCAAGCTCACAACCTAACAGTCTAAGAGATACACTGCCTGTAACTCTGAGATTGGAAAAAGGAGCCCAAATTTCTCCATTTAGATATTGTGAAATCCAATCTCTAAATTATTATTATTATTATTATTATTCTCTTCCCCCTCTCCCCAAACCTCTTTTCCCTCAAATCAATGAGCAAAGATACTTAGATGCTTTGAGAATCATAACATTTAAGACCATTTACATGAAGTTAAATAATTTTAATATATTTTTCTGCCTTTACTTAAATGGATATGTCACTAGTTGGCTGGTGACAGGCTTTGGCTCCATCCCCCACCCCCCCAAAACCTAATAATTTACCTTCTGTTCCAATGCAAGCCGGTACTTCTGTTCTACCCTCTTGCATTTGTTGTACCAACTGTTTTCATCCGTGATGAAAGGAGGACCAATGTTCTCTGGAGTGCTGCCTTCACTGCCACTGCTGCCCAGCGTTCTTAGCTCTTCTTCATCACTGCTGATGCTGTCAGAACTGAAGGATCATATTTATTAGCCAAGTGTTTGTTAAAATGGAATTCCCCTGAAACTAAAACACTACAGTTCTTAAACGTATCTAAAGCTCTGTAAGCCAAAAAGAATCAAAAAGTTGGGATATGATAGCCCACCAAATACAAGTTATATTTCAAGCTTTTACTTGTATAGCCAGCTAAAGAATGAGCAAAGAAAGATTTACTTGTGATGTTAGTCAAGTTGCCAGGTAAGGTAAGTCAGGGTAAGGTAAGTAGGTAAGTCAGACAACTACATATGGGATACTCTTCTGGAATTCAAAGGGCTAATTTATTACAATATGCTGTTTGAGGAAATGGTGACTTAATCTTTCCTTCACAAATTCAGGGCAAAGAGTAGTATTTGAAAATAAATTGTATTTGGTTCTAAAAATGCAGAAAAATAAAAATGCAATTCTCATTATATTAATTCATGATAAACTTAAGAATGTATCATTATGGTTATAGCGAAGACCCCGTGCCTGCTATTTCACAGAACATAAGTATCTCCCTACATAGTATGCAGATTTATTGTTAAATTACCTCTGTATCATCCAGAATCAACGTATGCCAAAGAATTCAGACCTAAAGGGGGCTACAGGAGAGATGGGGAGGGGCTCTTCATCAGGGAGTGAAGCGATAGGATGAGGGGTAATGGTTTTAAACTGAAAGAGGGGAGATTAAGATTAGATATTAGGAATAAAGTCCTTACTGTGAGGGTGGTGAGAGCCTGGCCCAGGTTGCCCAGAGAAGCTGTGGCTGCCCCATCCCTGGAGGGGTTCAAGGCCAGGCTGGATGGGGCTTGGAGCAACCGGGTCTGGTGGGAGGTGTCCCTGCCCAGGGCAGGGGGGGCCAGAACCAGATGATCTTTAAGGTCTCTTCCAACTCCAACCATTCTATGATTCTATAGTCTATCTCAAAGACAAGAATTTTAATTTATCTCAATACCCTTTTCCCTTACAGCTATGCTTTCCATTACGTTAACAGCATTTCCTAGTTTTTTTTAAATAGTGATTCCTCCAACATCCTGCCTTAATGCAAATTATCCTTTAACTGAACTATGCAATTTGCCATTAACATGTAAGCTAATAAGAACTTCAAGAGAGTAACTAGGATCTTTCCTGTTAGGTTGTACATCTTCAAGACTACTCCTAACTTTCAACTGCTTTCTTCATTTTGGCAAACCTAACAATAGAACACATGCCATTAATTTCCATGCTTTTTGGAGATTCCAAATTGCGATCTGATCCATTTGACAGCGATCATTCTTTTTATTATTAATCATATGGCTGATAAGAAGACCAAAATGTAGCTGGAAGGTCAAACTATATACGCAACTGGCCATGATTTCCTACTGTGTGCTAACTGCTCACACTGCATACTGCTCAGCTGTCGCATCTTACCATTTACCAGGGCATAGATAATTTTTATTTACAAAATAACTACTTTTAAATTCATGGCCACACAGAAAAGGCCTGAGAGAAAGGACAACTTGGTCTGGTGATCTTCAAAGGAAATAAAAAAATTGTTTACTGCTGAACTGTGATTCTAATCCAAGTAAACAAAGTTAGCATGACTCATTCTGATGAGTCATGTAGTAATTCCACCAGCCTGAAAGAGCAAAGTAGCTGAGTGTACTGGTTTGTGTTTAGATATGGAGATTATTTTGAATATGAAATGAAAAGCAAGAGGCCCAGTATGAAGTAAAATTTTGCCCATGAAATAAAAGAAAAACAGTAGTGTAAAGATAGAGTACCTTTGGGTGAACTTCAAGTACGGTGTATAATCTATGACAGCTGGAAAGCTGCCATCCAATCCCTCACCCTTCAGACAAAAACTGTAAAACAGAAAAACAATAATAAGATTATAACAAGAAAATTAAATGACAGTAACGGATGAGTTTTACCAATGTGAAATTTGATTTTTCTTAATTTTTTGTTAATAAGAAAGGCCTAAACACTGAAATAAAGTATTATACAGTGAAATCTTACTCAGCTGAGCTAGACTGTTTAATATTAAATGAGATTCACTCAGCATATTATAGGATAATGAAAAGCAGAACAAACAGGAATTTCACATAATCAGGGAATATATTAGGGCAAGTGGTAGAACCCCAAATTTTTAAATAGTCACTTTTATTCTGAGAATACAGATGGATTGCAAGGGAATAACAAGAAAAGGAAAGTCAGCTGAAGCAAGAGCAACAGAAAAGCTATGGATGAACTTGGAATCTTCAGTATTTAAGCTCATTTACAGTTTTTGTGGAGTGCTTATGTAACCATCCTACAAACTTTAAGTCAAAAATCAGTTCTCAAAAATACTTCAGAGTCTTTCTCCTTTCAGACACGTTCTGGTGTTGGGCTGCAGGAAGATGAGGAACACTAATGAAACTAACTTTCAAAAAATGTTCTTAAATGGTTGTAGCTTTATAAAGCTCTGATCTACATTGTATTCCTTTTGTATGATATATAAAAGACTGTATTTGAATCGTGTTTAATTATCATAGAAGCAACAAAATTAAAGCCTTGCCTCTACAAGGCTCATATTCCCCACTCCTCCTACCTCTGTCATCCAAAAACCACATTTGACTAAGACACAGCTTTTGCTACCTTAATTGAAAAGTGCCATTTTTGACAAAGCAGTCACTTAAGTGATATTTGAGAAGTAAATCTGAAGGGTTTTTTTCTAAGAAAAGAAAAGCAAACAACAAAATACACAATTCCACATTGCTGCAAGAGGGGAAAAATATTTAGATTCTATTTTCACCTCAGTTCCCCGATATTCAGCCTAGAGTCTTATTTACACTTCCATATAGATAAGCCAGTAAACATTTATTAGAGACTCAAATGGAAAAAAATCCACTCAAATATAACATGCAAAGAATAGCTACAGCTTCTCAGCTACTCAAACCACAATAGCATGAACTATATGTGGCACAATAAAAATGCTCCTGTAGCACTATATTCCTGTTTTGGCCAGAAAATTTCTAGGCTCTTAAAAGTTGCATTGGCAAAACCTTAAATGTCTCCAACGAGAACCAAACATTACTCTGAATATTATTAACAGACACCTATAAATGTGTTTATATTAGAAATTAGAGGACAAAGGAAGAACAAGTACGCTCATACAGCTAAGCTCTTACACCAGTAGTATGTATCACTGATGCTTATACAAGAGAAACACAGTCAATTGATGGTTATTTATGGGAGGATTTACATATTGCAGACCTACTCTTGCTATGCTTCTTATTGATGCATAGCTACAGTCCTTCCAAATACACTGCTAAACTGCTTCTGCATTAATTTTGCATATTATAAAGCTTAAACTAATAAAATCTGGTAAGATTTGAATTCTCTGTGCAGAAGGCTGCCCCTCTTACTGTTCTGCAGCACACTTCTGTCCCCCCCAAAACTTACATTGAGGATGCAGTGAAGCCAATCTAATGACTAAATGCTGGCAAAAGAAGCTATCCTGCATTTTAAACATCTCCCTCTCTGTTTTGGGTTTGTTTGGTTTTTTTTTTTCCCCCAACTAGACATTTCCCTTCCCCTCCTTACAGTGGCATTGGCACTTATCTGACTCTGCTCTGAGGGTACATAAGCAGGAGTAAGTCTCCCAAGGCCTTTTGGCAACAATTAGTGCACCCAAGGAGACTATGTGGTGTTTTCTGCCAGTTTATCTCCTAAAATGGTTTATGATGAGCATTAATGTTGCTGCAGGGTAAATATTAACTGTGTACAGCCAGGAGACTGCAGCATTATCACTCTCCCTTTCCCTCTGCTGTGTAACAAACTCCTTCCCCAGTGGCTCTGCATGGGGCTAAGGGGGCCCTGACAGACACATTAATAGAGCCTTGCCCCAGCCAGCTGTGATCTTTTTCCAGCCTTTATACCTTGGTGGTGTTCATACATCACCAAGATGTTTTATCTAGGGTGTGTTTGCACTTTCACCACCCCAAACCACAGAATTAATCATATAACAAGGCACACAAAAGCCTACCTAGAGATTGGAAAGGTAAATTCATGCAATCTGATGATACTTTGCCGTTTGGGTGCAGTTAATTATAACACAAATTAATATTAAGTGGTAATTTGTCGTTTAAGCTTTTAAAATCTAGAAGTGCTAAAGTTAAAGATACCTATACCTTCTACATACGCAGTTACAGCGCTGTCGTTGAGTACCAGGGCATAACCATCCATTTAATCACAGTTTTCCTTACAGTTTAAAAATAACTTTAAAAGGTTCAATTGTCTATAAGCTTCACTTAATAGGTTTGATATGCCTTCTGCAATTATACTTCTGATTGCTTTCAGGATTTTGATACCTGAAAGAAAGACCGTGTCATCATGCAGCTATATAAACTATGGCAAACTTTATTTAGAAGAGCCATTCAAGATCTCTCTCTCTCCCCCTCCCCATCTTGTCCCCCCGCCCCCGATTGAATCTAACAAAGGGAATCTAACAATGTTTTCCATAATGCATTGATATGTAAGTACTTTCCCTGAGCATTGTGTTATGAAGCATGCAAATATAATACCTGAAATCAATTGCATTGAGTCCCAGCAGCATACCAGCAAGCATATTTGCTTCTTCGCCAAGAACAATTGCTCCATCCTCATAAAATCTCCTTCAACAGAAAAAAAATTAGTTCAGTTAATACCATTTTCTCTCAAATAATTGTAATGTTTTAATAGTTAACAGAAAACTGAAGAAATACAGTTTAAATAAAAATCTCTCATGTGAACCCCAGGGGCATTCATATTTCATTTCAAACAAAGCAAACCAATAGACTGCACAGTGTAAAACACCAGTCTTTGAGAACATAAAAATTTAGACAGAAGCAAAAAGAATTTACAATTTGGCATTAAGAAATAGTAAAACAGGATGGACAAAATACAAAGAAAATTAAGATACCTTATACTTTATTGCTGAAAGGAAGAATTTGTGTCACATACATAAAAAATGTTATTATTCCATAGTATGAAAAAAAAACGTTGTCTCTCACAATTGCACTTGCAGGCTCTTTTAAAGTTCAACATTCAGTCTTCATTCTTTGTAGTTGATTACGTTAAAAAAAAATATTTTAACAAATCAGCTGTTTTCCAGGTAGCATACTTTTTCTTAAAATATTGATACTGGGAAGATGGATGCTGCGTCCAGTTATTCCAAGATTTAAAATTTTCATTATTTGAGGGGGTGCTTTCTTAACATCAATTTTTAATTGTAAAATACCTACTGGCCAAAGTTTTAGAACTCCATGGCTTGATCTCAAAGTACACTTCACATACCCTGCTACATGCAGACTTGTGAAGGTTGCTTGAGAACAGTGACCAATAAAGCAATGATTTTAAAATCTGTATTCCCTCACCACCTCCCCATTCTCTCCTGTTTATTCTAATTTTCTCGTCCCAGCTACCAGAGAAGAAACATTCCAAGCACAGGTCAGGTGAACAGGACCCACCAGGGCCACGTGCAGCCTTGAGAAAAACATTTGGTGTGTTTAGCAAAGTGGCGCAAAACTTTAATTTCTGTGTCAAAGGAGTCTTGGCAGCAGCAGAGGCGAAAAGGTCACCAGAGTTCCCCTGAGTGTTACGTGTGGAAAGAGGGGAACGAGAGCTGTTCAATTCCAAAGGCAAGGTTGAAAGGCCACTTACCAGAAACTGGGATGCACAGTCCACATATCCATCCATTCCAACCTATCTTTCAGACAAATACCAGCAACTCTGCCCTACCGAAAGCTCCATCTGTTCTAAGAACTGCTCCAAAGCACTGGGATGGCTCAGTGAGAGCTCAAGTTGGCTGCATGGCAAACGTCCAGAAAAGACACAGTTTGGGGCTCAGCTCCAAAGACTGAACTGTGTTACAATGCACACTGTCACAAGTCCCACTTTTGCAGTTTCATAGCAGACATCCGTTTGCCGTAAAGAAATAAGTTGCCCAAGACCTTGGAAGTTCTCAGTGGGAGCAAGAAATCTGGAAGACTTCCTCTGGGAGGACAGAGATGACAGTCCTAACACCAAGGCTATGATGTACAGACTCAGCTCTCCACCCTCTGACTTCAGGAAGGTCACCAGGAGGCTCTACTGGCCACTGGTTGAGACAGAATACTGAGCTAGATGGACTTTAGAGTCAGATTCAGTACAGTTACTCTTATTTGTGAGCTAACAGCAATGCTCCCAGCACGAGCTGATTACAAACCATTTCACTGGCATTTGTAAAAATCACTGCCAAGTAACAATCTGTACTGTGTTCAGTTTATCTTGTAAAATGGCACCTAGGAAGTAATGACACGAAAAAGACAGGGCATACTTGTAGCAGTGAGACACAGCTGTGTCAGTCTGACAGTTCCTTAAACCAGCTACAGTAACTCAGCCAAAACAACAGTCCTTTTGGCAAACCCACAAATACTCTCTCAGTGTGACGCAGTTGACATCTCACAGCGCATCCACTTCAGAGTCTGTGCTGACCAATTTGTTAGAAAAATAATTGTCGTCATGCTTAATCCAAGCCTCTTCCAAGTGTGGTATGCAAATGCAGCACTAATAACACTGCATCTAATGACACGCTGCTTCATTAAAGAACTAGCCCTAAGATCCAGCACCTAAACACAACACCAAAGTTTAAAAAGAGCTGGCAGTTTGATAGATAAATCTCATATTCTACATTTACACATGTGTAGCATATGATATTTAGAGTTTATGAAAATAGTTATTACATATACACATAATTTAAAGTGCTAAATAAGTGGTGCAAAGCATCACCAAAAAATTCAGGCCACTTACTAGGTATCCAAAATCCCACACAGGAAAAGAGAACGTGTCCATTATTGCTAGTGGATTTGAAATCTACACTACTAAGATCTGAAACTGTAACTATTATTTCCATTAGAGGTATTTAAACATTACTTCAAAACACACTTTGTGCGTACTATATTTGGAATGCAAGAGAGGTTGTTTCCAAAAGCTATACCCCTCATGAGACATTAACATCTTCAAATAAATTAATCTGAAACTGCTAATAAAATAATACCACTGTTATCCACTAGAAACAAACCGCAGTACCCAACAGACACAAAGAATGTACTACTTAACTACACAGTTTGTGACTCTCCTCTTCCTCCTCATGTCCCCCTCAAAAACCCAACTGACTTTTCAGTTTGAGGCACCATGAGCAAATCTTTTCCAGAAATCTTTCTTTTATGAGCTTCTTGTCTACTGTAAATGCAAGCAAATCTGGATAAAATAAAGACGACAGGTCTGGAAACGTCAATAAAATGGGACATTGACATAGGTGTGTTTCAAAGTCACCTTAATATTGGCAAAACATGTGGAGATATGTGGACAAATAGTATTACAAACAGTAAACAAACAGAAGTCCTTACAGAGAAACTTCTTCCTGTTTAAATAGTCCACTCGGTATGTCTAAAAATTTTAGAGTTTAACATAAAGTACCACAATGTGTTACAGACTCACTCATATTTAGATGACTTCATCATAAATCTACAAAACACACTTGTTACAGGATAAAGTGTCATAGAACTATCACATCATTTAGAACCAGGCTAAAACTTCCAGAGTATTTTTTTATCACAAAGCATATTCTGGTCCAGAACACCTTTTACCATTAGGAGGTACAACAAAAATTTATTATACATTTTTCAAACTACACCAAGAATCCTAGCTATGCCTGATTACTAATTCTGTATTTCTCAAAAGTTTCCGGGAATTCTTTTCCTTTCTTCTTCAAGAAAAGTTCCAATAAAAGTTATTTTTTATGGAGTCTCTAGGGTTTTCTGTCAACCATACCTAATTTTGAAAAGAAAATACACTTCTCTACCCTTATCATGCTACAATTTCAGAATTAGTTCCTTCTTTGGAGAGGTTTTCTTCTCTATTGACCTTTTAAGAATTCCAGACTTATTTCTAGATTTTAAAAATCACATAGGGATTTTCAATTTTGCAGCTTCACCCATGCTGAAATCCCATCGATACCAACTCCAGACAGCTTTTGCTAGGTTACAGCTCTTACCAGTGATACCTCCTCCTATACAAATCAAGTGGAACATTCACTTTCAAACCTAAGTCCCTCACTTAAGCAACACTTGCTATAATATTGCAAAAATAAAAGTTTTAGAGACCTGGTTGTTTTGAAGTCTCTTAGAGCTGTGGAAATATATTCAGACAAATGCTTTTCCATAAGTGCTACTCTGATCCAGGCTCGACCCTGCAAGAAGAAACAGACATCAAATATTTAAGTATTATAGAATTAAGCACTTAATTTTACACCTGAAAATGAATACAGTTGATTTACCTGGTTAAAACGAACCGATTAACAGAAATATCTCTAAACAGAAATTGTTGCTAGGATGTACTTCATTGTAGTAATAATAAGAACAGAAAACACATGCTTACAAATAAACTTTACTGTGAAATAGAGCTCTCCAAAATTTGAAGGGAGGGGGGAAGTTTTCTCCAGCCTTTTGAAAATTTCATGCACATAAGTGGTAGCAGATCAGGGTAGAACACTTTTCATTTCAAAGACAAAGGTGTTGGAATCATCCAATCTGCTCCACTTTAAAGCAGCAGTAACATCCCCTCAAGGTGATTTAAGTAAAACCAAATTCTCTGAGTTCAATTAAAATGTTTGTGGGATCAATGAAAAAAAAAATTACAACTCAGTGACGTATTTTTATTATGCAATTTGCATAATAAATGCATAATATGCAGATGTCCCCTCTGTAAGGACATCATTCTTTGCATAATAAATGCATAATATGCAGATGTTTGGATAGGACATCATTATAGAAGGTGCACATAACATACAGGAATGAAATCAAATCTAAGAGGCCTCAAACTTGTAGTCCAAATGCAAAACTTCAAGCAGTTCTATAAACAATAGCAATAGCTTAAAAAACTCCCTTTAGGAATATACGTTGCACTGTGTTTACAGGTCTAGGGCACAGGGTTGTAGCTGACAAGAAAGACATGTTTCAAATGGCTGCAGAGTTATGACTGTCAGCTTGAGAACACCATTGAGGAACATTTTTTGTAACCCCCATAAACTTACAAATAGTTATGTAAGTAGTAACGACTTTCTGCTAAATATATTTGGTGCTCATTGACATCTAGCTGAATATCACTACAGACACTCTACCAAAATAATCTGTAGTAGATTATAATTCCACTTTTAATTTATATAGACCTAGCTCAAACTAAACTTATAATAAGATAGGCAGATGCTAAAGAACAACAACAACAAAAATAATTGCTTTTATAAATACCAACACAGCAAAAACTTTAACACAGAGTGAACTAAAATTAAAAGGATGTTTATCTGGAGAGCTGCCTTTATGTTGCTGTTATTCAGAACATAAGCAAAACAGTCCCACCCTGCTGCTGCTGCTTAGCTAATAACTAACAAAGCAGGGCTAACCAGCCCAGGCAAACCCTTACTGACAGCCTCCGGCCTCAAGCAGACCCCCACGTGGACCACCAGTACAACTGATGGATACCACCGGTGTTTATGTAGACATGCCTCCAACCTTCTCACATACAGACAGCCAAAAATATTCCCACATGGACCTTTAAAAATTCACCACCGCTCTCCACACTCATGACACAAATTAGGCATTTATTACTTGGCATGGAGTTTTCCACCAAGTAAAAGAAAACTTTAATTTATTTAAAAGAGCATTTCAGAAAACAGCTTTGCATCTTATTATCTACTGAATTTAAATATTCATATCTATTAAAATGTTGGCATTCAGAAATACCTTTGAAATAAATCTTGAATATAAGCAACACAATCATCAGATTACAGAACATGAGTTTCTCCAGAAAGTATTTGGAAATAAGTTCTCCAAATTATCTGAACTTCCAGATCTCAAAATAAGCAAGAAGAAAAGCTGCATGATAAATTATCAGTCTGCTACTCCAGTACATTGAAAGCTAGGAAGAGCATGTAATACTCTGGATAGGAAAACCAATCAATAACATTTTGCCCTAGCATCTCAAGTGTTTTAAAGTTTTCACACAGATTACAGATATATTTACTATATAAAATTCAAAACTGAGTCTTCAGTCAAAAACTGAGTCAAAACAAAAGAAGAAAGGGGCAACGGTAGACATAGCAAATAAACTGTTCTGCAATACTACATGGATCATCAGAATGGCTGCTCAAAGATCTACTAGATTCATGTTGCTGCTTGACCAAAGCATCATCTTTTATTGAAGAAAACGGTGGTTGCATAAATACCTGTAATTTAAATTGTACTAGCCACACAGTTGTGCCCCTGAAAAAAATCTACAAAGATTTTGTCTATAACAGCTAATTATTTGCACCTGACCAATGACACCAACTGTGAATAATCCAGAATATAAGAAAAATCTGGAACTACAGGATTTTTGGAATAGACATCGGACACAGTTTGGATACTTGTTCAAACAAATGATTTCAGCTCATTTAAGAATAAAAAGGATTAAGAAGATTAATTTGTGCATCCTTTCATGTTACTTTCAAGTCAGAAGGTTCTAAGCTATCAATCAAGGCTGCTTTACACAGGAATATAAACTACTGAAAAGCATTCTAATATAGTAAAAAGAACTTGCAAACTCCATCCAACAGTATTTTTTTTTTTTTAAATGTTGGTTTGCAGATGTTTGTTGTTGCGTTATTAAGATTTAATGATAGGTCAGTTGAAAGCTTATTCTTACTCAGTTTATACGGACATAAACACATGAAATGGTTACTTTCTTAGCATTTCCATCATATCTACAATCAGAAATCGTGACGTCATTTCTATATGGATCCTTTAAAGCTATGGGGCTTTATTAGTAAATAAATCTATTAAAGGCTTCCTGCGCAATCACACCAACAAACTCAAGAGCTAGTCACACCTTTTCTATGAGTGCATAAATTATATACTATTATTTCTACAATTTTAAAACAGTATTTGTTAGGCATGCCTGCACGAACTTCATTTCTCTCAATATACTGCATTTTCAAAAAATTATGTACGTTACGTACATTAGAAAGTGTGAAGGCAATCATTTTATAATACAACATGCTCACTGAATAGAGAATTTGAGATTTATTCTAGTAAATAAATTGTAAAAGAAATACATTCAGATTTAGAAGTTTTTTTTTAAAAAAGTAAATATTTACTAGATATGTGCAAAAATAATTAATTCAAACAATGAAAAATTTTGTGGGGCAAGCTTAGTAATACGTCTTTCTTCTGGGTACAGAAATGTCAGCTATATTTTTACACAAAACAATGTAATAAAAAAAAGTCAATTTGACCTTTCTCTTCCCTACCTTAGCTCTAGAAGAACCGACATTCTCCATGTTCTCAATACTGCAGATGCAATTGTGAGAGACTTTGCGACAAGCTACTCGAATGTAGTCCCAGAAACTACGAGGACTTTCATAGCCGAACCAGGAGATCTGACCTTAAATCAAAATACAAGATACGTAAAGATTTATGAACCTCCCTCTCTGCTTATTGGAGATAAACAGAATTAAAATACTTCCCTATACGTTGCCTGCACTGAAAGGACTTTATAATAGCAAGCCCATATATTCCTACTGAAAACTGGCTCACACGTGAAAAAAACCCACTTGCATTACACAGCTCACTGATGTACAAAGAGAAGTTTGGGGGCTCTGTGTACAAATGTGTATTTTGTTGTGTTTTTTTTCTCCTTTGTTAGTATGGCATAGTAATACTAAAGAGTTCTTCACAGGACTCTTAAATCACAATAGAGCACACACTGTCATGACTTAAAAATATGATGCAAGAAGTATTTCTGTTACTTGTTTTAGGTAGTACCATGTGTTTCACCAATGCAGACAAGAAAAGAGAGTTTCGTTCTTTAAAAAAATATTTTTTTATATATAAATAAAAGACCGCTATTTGCTGTCATAGTGTTGTCTTCATTTTGGGAGCAGACTGGAATTATTCAAAATGGGCTTTCATTGAAGGAAAAAGTGATGCGTGATCAAAAAACTTCTGCAGTCACAATTTATTTTGAGTATACACAGAATGTTCCTTGGGAAGCTGACCAAAATTAATTGAGCAAATCAATATCTCTTCTGGTGCTTTAACCAAAATCCTGTTTTTTCCAGCTAGCAGTGTATTGCAGTTAGAAAATGAAAGGCAAAATTACATACTACTTGCAACCATTCCACACAAAATAAATTGCATCACAGACATAACAGTCCAGCCCCATTTTTCAGACTGAACAGCATAAAACTGTGACCAGGTTTGTAAAAAGTAAGATGAACATTACCCCCCAGTGACTGCCATATTACATATGCACAAAACCTTTTCTCCATATAACATGAAATCTTATTTTTAAGCTAATTTTATTTTATTTCAAGTCTCAAGTTGTAGTTCTGAAGCTTTACTAATTTAACAGACAGATCTCCAATTCTTTTGTGGTTAGAAAGCTCAGATTTCAAGAATGAAAATATTAGACTGATGCTGCAAATTACAGAATAAGAGAATGGTTTGGGTTGGAAGGGACCTTAAAAATCATCTAGTTCTAACCTTAAAGATCATCTAGCATCCCCCATGGGCAGGGATACCTTCCAATAGACCACATTGCACCTTGAACCCCTCCAGGGATGGGGCATCCACAACTTTTCTGCACAACCTGTTCCAGTGTCTCACCACCCTCACAGTAAAAAATTTCTTCCTAATATCTAATCTAAATATACCCACTTTCACTTTAAAACCATTACGCCTCATCCTATCCCTACACTCCCCCCTAAAAAGTCCCTCCCACCTTTCCTGTAGCCCCTTCAGACATTGAATGGCTGCTCTAAAGTCTCCCTGGAGCCTTCTCTTCTCCAGGATAAACAACCCCAGCTCTCTCAGCCTGTTTTCACAGCAGAGGTGCTCCAGCCTCTGAGCATCTTCATGGCCCTCTGCTGGACTCTCTATAACAGGTGCATGTTCTTCTTATGCTCGGGGCCCCAGATCTGGACACAGAGCTCCAGGTGGGGTCTCACCAGAGCAGAGCAGAGGGGCAGAATCACCTCCCTCACCCTGCTGGCCACATTTCTTTTGATGCGGCCCAAGATGGGGTTGGCTTTGTGGGCTGTGAGTGCACATTGCTGGCTCACGTTGAGCTTCTCATCAACCAACATCCCAAGTCCTTCTCCTCAGGGCTGCTCTCAATCCATCTCTGCCCAGCCTGGATTTGTGCCTGGGATTGCCCTGACCCAGGTGCAGGACCCTGCATTTGGCCTCATCGAACTTCACAAGGTTCGCATGGGCCCACCTCTCAAGCCAGTCCAGGTCCCTCTGGATGGCATCCCTTCCCTCCAGCGTGTCCACCACACCACACAGCGTTGTGTCGTCAGCAAACTTGCTGAGGGTGCACTCAGTCCCACTGTCCATATCACCAAGATAAGGGATGGGGCAGCCACAACTTTTCTGCACAACCTGTTCCAGTGTCTCACCACCCTCACAATAAAAAATTTCTTCCTAATATCTAATCTAAATATACCCACTTTCACTTTAAAACCATTACGCCTCATCCTATCCCTACACTCCCCCCTAAAAAGTCCCTCCCACCTTTCCTGTAGCCCCTTCAGACATTGAATGGCTGCTCTAAAGTCTCCCTGGAGCCTTCTCTTCTCCAGGATAAACAACCCCAGCTCTCTCAGCCTGTTTTCACAGCAGAGGTGCTCCAGCCTCTGAGCATCTTCATGGCCCTCTGCTGGACTCTCTATAACAGGTGCATGTTCTTCTTATGCTCGGGGCCCCAGATCTGGACACAGAGCTCCAGGTGGGGTCTCACCAGAGCAGAGCAGAGGGGCAGAATCACCTCCCTCACCCTGCTGGCCACATTTCTTTTGATGCGGCCCAAGATGGGGTTGGCTTTGTGGGCTGTGAGTGCACATTGCTGGCTCACGTTGAGCTTCTCATCAACCAACATCCCAAGTCCTTCTCCTCAGGGCTGCTCTCAATCCATCTCTGCCCAGCCTGGATTTGTGCCTGGGATTGCCCTGACCCAGGTGCAGGACCCTGCATTTGGCCTCATCGAACTTCACAAGGTTCGCATGGGCCCACCTCTCAAGCCAGTCCAGGTCCCTCTGGATGGCATCCCTTCCCTCCAGCGTGTCCACCACACCACACAGCGTTGTGTCGTCAGCAAACTTGCTGAGGGTGCACTCAGTCCCACTGTCCATATCACCAAGATATTAAACAGCACTGGTCCCAATATTGACCCCTGAGGAACAGCACTAGTCACTGGTTGCCACTTGGACATCAAGCCATTGACTGCAACACTTTTGAGTGTGACCCTCCAACGGAGAGAGTGGAATCATACATACTGAAAATCATGAACATACTGAACATAAAATGCCAAAATATGATTACAAGAATATTTTTATCTAGCATGACTTATCTTAGCTCCAAGCATACTTTGAGTAGTGCCAAAGATCTGTCCCCCATGAGCTTAAGAAATTCAAATGGTGGCTTTTTTCCTCCATAGTGGGTGCATCTATCTTAGTTTTGTGATCTATCTGCTTACTTCACCGCATGAATTTATTTATTAAATTCAAAGCTTGATAAAAGAGTTGTAAGGAAAAAAGAAAGCAGGAAGAATTAATATATATGACTCAATATGCCAAAGGAAAAACAAAATCCCAGGATGCTTCAGTTACTGTAGACTCAGATCTTCTCAGTTCTAAGGACTAAAATAAAAGAATTTCAATGAGGTAAGCACTCTTACAAACTTACGATTTTTGTTGAAATGCCAAATGTACCGGACAGCAAGAAAAAATCAACAGCATTTTAACAACATGAAAAGCTAGAGATATATTTCATGTTTTTTACCATATCAGAAACATTTCTGCCCTGGGGATTATACCCGCACAATTAAATGTAACTTAAGTGTGAAGATGACATCGTGTCACCAGCTGCAGTGCCAACTAACAAAGGCAAGCATATCACACAATAACTTTTGTGGCTTTTTCAAACTATCTTAAGGACAGAATATATTCTGCAAAAAACAGACACTTTCACTCTAAGGTTTTCTAAAGTCACCAATTCAAAACAATTCCTTTTACAAATGAACATCTGAAAAACTCACCACATTTAAAAACAAAAATACCTTGATAACAGAAATACATACCAGCACATTGCACTTATTTGACTTACGCTGATCAACAAAGCAAGCTGTCCATAATTACAATACACCCTGACATAACAGCGGGCTCTCATCTTGCAGCCAGCTCTGCAACAGGGTATGATGGGTTTCAGGCTTCAGTAGGAGTTGTCTTCACTGAGCAGGCTCAGGACTTCTTGTGAACCAAAGACTATTTGCTCCCTACAACTTTAAACCTTGCCCACACTCTGGAAATTAATATCATCTGAAGAAAATCTTCCTTCTATACACAGAAAAATGTTGGAAAAGAGTCTCCAAGAATAGCGAGAATGTATTTTAAGAACTACTAAATAAGATATTAAGCTGTATATTCCCTACAATTTTAAAAACTTTCAGCGTATGACATGCTGTTTGGCCCTCAATGCACTCAACGTACACAGCCACGAGAGGAACTCTCAAGAACGAGAGATGAACTAGTTCCCACTACTCAGCACTCCTCCTGGAATACTGTGGCCAGTTCTGGTCCCCACAATTCAAGGAGGACATGGACAGATTGGAGAGGGTCCAAAGGAGGCCCATGAAGATGTTCAAAGGGCTGGAGAACGTTGCCCGTGAGGAAAGACTGAGGGAAGAGAAGATTCAGAGGGGAACTCATCACAGTACTCTGGTATTTAAAGAGCAGTTACAAAGATGACGGAGGCCCTCTCTTTACAAGAAGCCACATGGAAAAGACAAAGGACAACAGGTACAAGTTTCATCTCAACATAAGAAAGAAGGTTTTTACAGCAATAACAATTATTCACTGGAACAACCTCACGGGGGTGTGGCAGAGTCCCTGTTGCTGGAGGTTTTCAAGATGCAATTGGATAATCTCATCTAGGCCCACAACTTCCCACAAATGGTTGGACCAGATGATCTTCTGAGGTCCCTTCGGACACAGGCTATTCCATGATTCTAAAGGGTCCTAATAAACTTGAAAGCTAATTCTAGCATACAACTTATACTTTGTCAGAAACTTAAGAAAAGAGTAAGTTCCCTGGGAGGTCCAAAGGACAAAGAGTATGAGGTCTTTGCCATGAAGTTTATGTGTCATCAGAAAACACAGAAGCTGACAGCTATTCCAACAGGAACGGTGTGATTGTTTTTGTCAGCCAAACAAAATTGTTAGATAAGCATGGAAGCTGCAAGTTTAATATTAAGTATTGTTCAAATTAATTCAGTTCATGTCTACAAAACTGCAAAGCAAATAGAAATGATGTTGTGAATTTTTTTTATTTCACATTTTTGAATTCTGCTACACACCTATTTGTATCAGCTCATTTCTGATCCAG